GTTGAACGTCCTGGCAGTGACTGTATACATGCTGCCATGTGAGAGCATTTCGAAAGGAGAGTTGTCTCTCCTCACACTCAGCTGTATCAGGGCATTTGGCGGCCTTTTTAAGACAATAAAATACTGTTAACATTTTTTTAAAGAAATAAACATGAAATTTTTAAAGCTTTCACTAGAAACATTATAGTTTTAAATTCACTTGGTATTATTTGTTTGAATCATCCCATTGGTGTTTAGGATTGAAATCGATCAGTCTCTTATTGGCATATGTGCATACTGTGTATATTGTTTTTATAAGCAAAGATGGATAGTAACTAGTAGTGAAATCCAGTTTGACACACGTTTCGTCCTATTTGGGACTCTTCAGCTGAGTGTGCCTACATCACAGAGTTGATGTTCACTCCGAGACTCGAACCCAGTATCGTTAGCTATTAAATCTACATGTTGATAAGTTATTATTATTATTATTACTAATACAGTTTATTCAATTGTTGTTTAACTCTTTCTTTTTTATTGTATAGGGAGCATTTTATGGATTAATGTATGGTTTAATTATTGGTTTAATACGATTAATATTAACTATTATATCATGAACCAATATGTGGTGAATATGATCATAGACCATGGTTTATTAAAAATATACATTATATGTATTTTGCATTATTTTCATTTATAACATGTGGTATTATTGTATGGTTATTAGCATTAAATGAAAAACAATTAACTGATGAAGAATTATATCATGTAACTTATTGGACTGCAGGGGATAAATCTATTAATCATTCATTATTAATAATAGCAATTTACATAATCATATTTCATCGAATGAAATCATTCCTAATACTATAGACAATGAGAATAATGTTAATATAATTAATAATATTCATTATTATCAATATGAAAATAATGAAATCATTAATAAAAGAGAAATATCATCAACTTCTGAATGTCAACAACAACAACAACAACAACAGCAGCAACAGCAAAAAGAATTTGTTAATAATAAAACTATAGAAGGTTTACGTTTTAAGTGTTTTATTTTATTCTATATTTATATAAATATTACTGGAATTCTCCTATGAGAAGTAATGACCGATGAAGTTTAAACCGGGTTTGTTGTGAGATAATTAGTTGTTGAAGACAATGTTCGATTAGTTGAAGTTAAACATTAACATTGATGTATGCCTGGTAGCTCAGTGATTTAGTGGTTAGGCACTCGTACGCGAGGCAGGGATTGTGGGTGTTCACTGTTGAGGAGTTCCAAAAAATAGAACGAAAATGTCATCGAATAATTCCAGGTTTCCATATGGGTCTAGTTTCAATTGCCTTATGTTCTCAACTATTGAAATTAATATAATATCCACAAAAACGTCTTGTGATATACAATATTTCCCGGTTTAAGGTGATTCTTCAATTGATGTTAGTCCAAGAGTAGTAAACAATCTTAAATTTGTCGACTATTCGTCTTATTACTTAAAGATGAAATATTTTTACCAATGTTCTTCATAATCAGTTAAATTTCTATATTTTCATAATAGAAAAGAATAAATAACAGTTATGTTATGTCATATATGTACACCATCGTATTATTCTGATGTATTTAAGTATAAATGAGATATTTTATAGATAAATTTAATGCTGTATATTCAACAGATAATATGGAACTAATAGCTGGGTGATAAATTTTGCATAACTTTACTATTGATGATATTTCCCGACGCAGAAAACTACTCGGTAATATTGAGGTTAAACGCAGGGTATTAGGGAATGATGGCAAATCAGTTGATGAGGTTGTGAATCTTCATGTCATGTGTTACATATACCTGAACACTGATTATCACGACACGCAATGCTGACTAGTGTTGGGGATGGTTGGTACCAATGGTATCAGTCTTCGAAGTCACTAACTTCTAGTCTTAGTGATGTTGGTAGATGCAGACTACTTGGTTAGGGTGTGCGTGACTATCGTAACCAATGGTTGTAGACTGTGAATGACATGGCTCAAAATTGATCACAGTGGCGTAGGATTATACACTCTTTATCTTTCTTTAAACTATGAGATTAAAGTCGCTTCATATTCTTCTTTTTACGAAGTAATTGTTTCTTCCTGTACTATATCCTTGTATGCAATCTTTCTTTTATATATTACCACCATTGAATTAACTACTCTTATGAATTTGGTGTTCATATTGTTGTGTTGATGAGTGATGTATGGGAATTCAGTGGTATAGGAGTAGGTTGGAAGAAAGCTAGGGGCGGCCAGACCAAAACATGGCACAAATCCATGAAGTCACTGACAAGTGGACTGAGTCATGTTGGTAGGTGTAGACTACCTGGTTGGGGACCGCGAGATGATAGCAACCGATGGTTAGAGACCCTGAATGACATGGCTCAAAATCGTTTGCAGTGGCGCAGGTGCATCCACTCTCTATGTTCTCCCAAATTCTAATTATCTGAATTCTTCATGCCCCTTTTTTTCCTCTTTCCAAATTTATTTCACTGGATTATACTCGTTAAATAACATCTCCAAACCCTAATCCTCCCGATTACTGCTTATACTCTTGCTACCTCTACCACTACGGGATTTGAATCGACCACTGCATCTCTGTGCTAATGTGGTATGGCAACTCGAACTGATGTACGTACGTACTAAGTTCTACGTTGTTACTGACTGACTGACTGATTTGGACCGATGTATATACGTGACTGATCCTACTCATTTCATATAATGATTGAACATCATAACTAAAGTCTATTCTAGTGAGAATTTACTTTCTTATTTATTTATTATAGATCATGATTTACCAGATAAAAAAACATCTCAAACTTCACCATCATCATCATCAGATTGGTATAAAATGATGAAAAATATATGTTTATGGTTCTGTGGTTGTGCTGAACATCATCCATGTTCTAATATACAATGTAATCATTGTTATTGTTTAAAATTATGTCATAATTTCACAACTCATATACATTCAAATCATAAGAAAATTTATATTATCACAACAAATGATCTTGATAATGATAAGAAATTAGATAATTTAACATTAGAAAATAATAATCATTTTAATTCAGATGATCATTTAACAAAGATTACTTCATTAAAACAAAATCCCAATATAAAATTAAGTTTATATATTGGTTTATTATTCATTATTATTTTATCTATATTTGGTTTTATATTTTTTTCTATTTATTTTGGTTCTATATCCATTGGTCCATTACCTATAACTATTAATAAAATAATAATAAATGATACAATAAAAAATGCTATAAAATCATTAGAATATTATAGAATAGTTACAATACAATAAAGATTATGTTCTTTTGTTTTCATTGTGTTTTTTATGAATATGAATATTATTAATAAGTAGTATAGTTTATGAATAAAATGTTCGCAGCAAATATGAAATGGATTATAGAAATGTTGTATCTTTTCTTTTTGCCATATTATACATATATATATACATAAACATAGATATACTTTCGTTTTCTTGCATTAAACAGATGGGTACCAGACAAGTTAATTTATATGTGAATGGGTTCGAACCAAAGCAGGCGGTTTTTTTTTGGGGGGGGGGTCACATCTGGAATCTTTAATTTAATAGCTGATCTACAAGGTAGTGGAGCAATGTAAGGAGATGCAATCCCATGATAGCCGGTAACCAACAATAGGTTTATAAATCATTTGTTGTTTCAGGATTGATAAGTCTTGTTAATTGAATGCTAGATTTGGTTTCTAAGTTCTTCTAGTAACTACGATGCTAGATCTACACACAGAGATTTGAACACGAGAGAAAAAGTGCGAAATATGTAAGAAACACTTTACTCCAAAAGGTTTGTTTATCTACAAAAAAATCTAGGAATTTTATAGTATTTTAAATGTCATTGCGGTTCCGGAAAACTTTTGGAACGCTATTAAATATAGTGGCAGTATAAGTAATCATCCAATCAGAAAGTCAACATGTGACTTTTCACTTTCTAGATGTTTGTGACAAAACTTCTAGTGAACACTGATTGAACAAGATGCTTCTCAATGTTTACAGAGTCTTTCTTTGCTATTTTCGAGGAGTTTTCTAGATCTCCGCACGAAGGATCGTGGAGCCTATGTGCACCATTGGTTTAAAATCGGGGATTTCCAACTCCCCCCCCAAGTGAATCTTCCGTATCTACCAACCCGGTTAAAGCGCCGGACGTTCGCTTTTTGTTCTCCTAGTTTTGTTAACAACATTAATACGGCGAGAAGGCAGTGAGTAGGACTTTCCTAACAGTGGTTGTATGCACGTAGCATGTGAGAGGATTTCGAGACAGAGAGCTGACACTCCTCAATCTCGACCGTACGAGGTCGTTTGAGGACTAACCAGATATAGATGTATATTCACTACAGTTAATCTACAAACTGCATAGATGTATGGCGTATCAAGACTTTATTTGACTTTATCGAATTGATGAACACTTCAATCAAACTAAATAGTTTCATCGGCGAAGCTGCAATCTATGTACGAACCAATCAGATATAAGATAATAGGTCTCGGATTTTGGCGCGAAATTCGTTCACCCTTAATCTAATTCCTAACCTTAACCATAAATCATAATTTGAATTCCTCACACTAATTTATAACCCACATTTGGGTCCTAGTTACCAGGTGAACACTATCAAGGTGACTTTAATGTCGTCCAAAAGATGTCCACAAATTCTAATCTCACCATTTCATCAAAGTCAATTTACAGAGTTTAGTCTGGTTAACGTTTTTTTTAGCAAGACATTTTTCTATCGGATAGGGTTGCCGACCTATGCCAAACCCTCCTTCTTTAACCATTCTTAGGACTAATAATACCACTGAAAGCGTTATAGGCGGCTTATGCTTCTCCATAAGGAGTAACAGGAGTAAGCAAATAAACCTAAATAGAAATAAATAAATCAATGTATATCAATTTTCATACATGAAAATCATATTCAAATGAAGATAACTAATCAAATTGATTTATGACCATCTATTTGTATTAATATGAATAAACACATATATATATAATGAATTGCTTTATAAGATTAACAAAAGAAAAATGTTTTGTTTTTCAATGTCTATGTTTTATTACACGTGATTATTGAATAGTTTTTGTTTGTTAATAAACTTGGCATTATTCTATAAAAGTAGTATGGAGTTTGACAAATGACAAAAAGAGTTATTAATATTGATTGATTGAAATGTTTCCATCATAAAGTATTCATATTGTCAATCTTGAACAATCAGAATTGTTAAAACAAATTTTGTTTGTTAATTTTTACTATCTATCAGAATGGGTTTTGTGGAGATTTTAGAAATTTCACAAGATGAAATCATGAGTCAGTTGAAGCTAGACCACCATTGAAAACTGAGAGTTCTAGTGAGAAGTCGTTACCAGTGGAGTTCAACCAGGTCTGTTGTGGGATAGGAACTCACTTGACGACAATGGTGTACGGTTAGCGCAACTTCGTGGATTGATTGAAGTTAGACATTAACACCGTTGGATACCTGCTGGCTCAGTGGTCTAATGGTTAAGTGCTCGCGCGCGAAGCCAGTAGGTCTGGGGTTCGAGCCCGGGTGGTGCGGGGTCGTGGATGCGCACTGCTGAGGAGTCCCATACTAGGACGAAACGGCCGTCCAGTGCTTCCAGGTTTCCTATGGTGGTCTAGCTTCAACTGACTCATGATTTCAATTTGTGAAATTTCTAAAATCTCCATAAAACCCATTCTGATAGATAGTAAAAATTAACAAACAAAATTTGTTTTAACAATTCTGATTGTTCAAGATTGACAATATGAATACTTTATGATGGAAACATTTCAATCAATCAATATTAATAACTCTTTTTGTCATTTGTCAAACTCCATACTACTTTTATAGAATAATGCCAAGTTTATTAACAAACAAAAAACTATTCAATAATCACGTGTAATAAAACATTGACATTGAAAAATAAAACATTTTTCTTTTGTTAATCTTATAAAGCAATTCATTATATATATATGTGTTTATTCATATTAATACAAATAGATGGTCATAAATCAATTTGATTAGTTATCTTCAATTTGAATATGATTTTCATGTATGAAAATTGATATACATTGATTTATTTATTTCTATTTAGGTTTATTTGCTTACTCCTGTTACTCCTTATGGAGAAGCATAAGCCGCCTATAACGCTTTCAGTGGTATTATTAGTCCTAAGAATGGTTAAAGAAGGAGGGTTGGGCATAGGGTCGGCAACCCTATCCGATAGAAAAATGTCTTGCTAAAAAAAACGTTAACCAGACTAAACTCTGTAAATTGACTTTGATGAAATGGTGAGATTAGAATTTGTGGACATCTTTTGGACGACATTAAAGTCACCTTGATAGTGTTCACCTGGTAACTAGGACCCAAATGTGGGTTATAAATTAGTGTGAGGAATTCAAATTATGATTTATGGTTAAGGTTAGGAATTAGATTAAGGGTGAACGAATTTCGCGCCAAAATCCGAGACCTATTATCTTATATCTGATTGGTTCGTACATAGATTGCAGCTTCGCCGATGAAACTATTTAGTTTGATTGAAGTGTTCATCAATTCGATAAAGTCAAATAAAGTCTTGATACGCCATACATCTATGCAGTTTGTAGATTAACTGTAGTGAATATACATCTATATCTGGTTAGTCCTCAAACGACCTCGTACGGTCGAGATTGAGGAGTGTCAGCTCTCTGTCTCGAAATCCTCTCACATGGCTACGTGCATACAACCACTGTTAGGAAAGTCCTACTCACTGCCTTCTCGCCGTATTAATGTTGTTAACAAAACTAGGAGAACAAAAAGCGAACGTCCGGCGCTTTAACCGGGTTGGTAGATACGGAAGATTCACTTGGGGGGGGAGTTGGAAATCCCCGATTTTAAACCAATGGTGCACATAGGCTCCACGATCCTTCGTGCGGAGATCTAGAAAACTCCTCGAAAATAGCAAAGAAAGACTCTGTAAACATTGAGAAGCATCTTGTTCAATCAGTGTTCACTAGAAGTTTTGTCACAAACATCTAGAAAGTGAAAAGTCACATGTTGACTTTCTGATTGGATGATTACTTATACTGCCACTATATTTAATAGCGTTCCAAAAGTTTTCCGGAACCGCAATGACATTTAAAATACTATAAAATTCCTAGATTTTTTTGTAGATAAACAAACCTTTTGGAGTAAAGTGTTTCTTACATATTTCGCACTTTTTCTCTCGTGTTCAAATCTCTGTGTGTAGATCTAGCATCGTAGTTACTAGAAGAACTTAGAAACCAAATCTAGCATTCAATTAACAAGACTTATCAATCCTGAAACAACAAATGATTTATAAACCTATTGTTGGTTACCGGCTATCATGGGATTGCATCTCCTTACATTGCTCCACTACCTTGTAGATCAGCTATTAAATTAAAGATTCCAGATGTGACCCCCCCCCCAAAAAAAAACCGCCTGCTTTGGTTCGAACCCATTCACATATAAATTAACTTGTCTGGTACCCATCTGTTTAATGCAAGAAAACGAAAGTATATCTATGTTTATGTATATATATATGTATAATATGGCAAAAAGAAAAGATACAACATTTCTATAATCCATTTCATATTTGCTGCGAACATTTTATTCATAAACTATACTACTTATTAATAATATTCATATTCATAAAAAACACAATGAAAACAAAAGAACATAATCTTTATTGTATTGTAACTATTCTATAATATTCTAATGATTTTATAGCATTTTTTATTGTATCATTTATTATTATTTTATTAATAGTTATAGGTAATGGACCAATGGATATAGAACCAAAATAAATAGAAAAAAATATAAAACCAAATATAGATAAAATAATAATGAATAATAAACCAATATATAAACTTAATTTTATATTGGGATTTTGTTTTAATGAAGTAATCTTTGTTAAATGATCATCTGAATTAAAATGATTATTATTTTCTAATGTTAAATTATCTAATTTCTTATCATTATCAAGATCATTTGTTGTGATAATATAAATTTTCTTATGATTTGAATGTATATGAGTTGTGAAATTATGACATAATTTTAAACAATAACAATGATTACATTGTATATTAGAACATGGATGATGTTCAGCACAACCACAGAACCATAAACATATATTTTTCATCATTTTATACCAATCTGATGATGATGATGGTGAAGTTTGAGATGTTTTTTTATCTGGTAAATCATGATCTATAATAAATAAATAAGAAAGTAAATTCTCACTAGAATAGACTTTAGTTATGATGTTCAATCATTATATATGAAATGAGTAGGATCAGTCACGTATATACATCGGTCCAAATCAGTCAGTCAGTCAGTAACAACGTAGAACTTAGTACGTACGTACATCAGTTCGAGTTGCCATACCACATTAGCACAGAGATGCAGTGGTCGATTCAAATCCCGTAGTGGTAGAGGTAGCAAGAGTATAAGCAGTAATCGGGAGGATTAGGGTTTGGAGATGTTATTTAACGAGTATAATCCAGTGAAATAAATTTGGAAAGAGGAAAAAAAGGGGCATGAAGAATTCAGATAATTAGAATTTGGGAGAACATAGAGAGTGGATGCACCTGCGCCACTGCAAACGATTTTGAGCCATGTCATTCAGGGTCTCTAACCATCGGTTGCTATCATCTCGCGGTCCCCAACCAGGTAGTCTACACCTACCAACATGACTCAGTCCACTTGTCAGTGACTTCATGGATTTGTGCCATGTTTTGGTCTGGCCGCCCCTAGCTTTCTTCCAACCTACTCCTATACCACTGAATTCCCATACATCACTCATCAACACAACAATATGAACACCAAATTCATAAGAGTAGTTAATTCAATGGTGGTAATATATAAAAGAAAGATTGCATACAAGGATATAGTACAGGAAGAAACAATTACTTCGTAAAAAGAAGAATATGAAGCGACTTTAATCTCATAGTTTAAAGAAAGATAAAGAGTGTATAATCCTACGCCACTGTGATCAATTTTGAGCCATGTCATTCACAGTCTACAACCATTGGTTACGATAGTCACGCACACCCTAACCAAGTAGTCTGCATCTACCAACATCACTAAGACTAGAAGTTAGTGACTTCGAAGACTGATACCATTGGTACCAACCATCCCCAACACTAGTCAGCATTGCGTGTCGTGATAATCAGTGTTCAGGTATATGTAACACATGACATGAAGATTCACAACCTCATCAACTGATTTGCCATCATTCCCTAATACCCTGCGTTTAACCTCAATATTACCGAGTAGTTTTCTGCGTCGGGAAAATATCATCAATAGTAAAGTTATGCAAAATTTATCACCCAGCTATTAGTTCCATATTATCTGTTGAATATACAGCATTAAATTTATCTATAAAATATCTCATTTATACTTAAATACATCAGAATAATACGATGGTGTACATATATGACATAACATAACTGTTATTTATTCTTTTCTATTATGAAAATATAGAAATTTAACTGATTATGAAGAACATTGGTAAAAATATTTCATCTTTAAGTAATAAGACGAATAGTCGACAAATTTAAGATTGTTTACTACTCTTGGACTAACATCAATTGAAGAATCACCTTAAACCGGGAAATATTGTATATCACAAGACGTTTTTGTGGATATTATATTAATTTCAATAGTTGAGAACATAAGGCAATTGAAACTAGACCCATATGGGAAACCTGGAATTATTCGATGACATTTTCGTTCTATTTTTTGGAACTCCTCAACAGTGAACACCCACAATCCCTGCCTCGCGTACGAGTGCCTAACCACTAAATCACTGAGCTACCAGGCATACATCAATGTTAATGTTTAACTTCAACTAATCGAACATTGTCTTCAACAACTAATTATCTCACAACAAACCCGGTTTAAACTTCATCGGTCATTACTTCTCATAAGAGAATTCCAGTAATATTTATATAATATATAGAATAAAATAAAACACTTAAAACACAAACCTTCTATAGTTTTATTATTAACAAATTCTTTTTGCTGTTGCTGCTGTTGTTGTTGTTGTTGTTGTTGACATTCAGAAGTTGATGATATTTCTCTTTTATTAATGATTTCATTATTTTCATATTGATAATAATGAATATTATTAATTATATTAACATTATTCTCATTGTCTATAGTATTAGGAATGATTTCATTCGATGAAATATGATTATGTAAATTGCTATTATTATATAATGAATGATTAATAGATTTATCCCATGCAGTCCAATAAGTTAAATGATATAATTGTTCATTAGTTAATTGTTTTTCATTTAATGATAATAAACATACAATAATACCACATGTTATAAATGAAAATAATGCAAAATACATATAATGTATATTTTTAATAAACCATGGTCTATGATCATATTCACCACATATTGGTTCATGATATATAATAGTTAATATTAATCGTATTAAACCAATAATTAAACCATACATTAATCCATAAAATGCTCCCTATACAATAAAAAAGAAAGAGTTAAACAACAATTGAATAAACTGTATTAGTAATAATAATAATAATAACTTATCAACATGTAGATTTAATAGCTAACGATACTGGGTTCGAGTCTCGGAGTGAACATCAACTCTGTGATGTAGGCACACTCAGCTGAAGAGTCCCAAATAGGACGAAACGTGTGTCAAACTGGATTTCACTACTAGTTACTATCCATCTTTGCTTATAAAAACAATATACACAGTATGCACATATGCCAATAAGAGACTGATCGATTTCAATCCTAAACACCAATGGGATGATTCAAACAAATAATACCAAGTGAATTTAAAACTATAATGTTTCTAGTGAAAGCTTTAAAAATTTCATGTTTATTTCTTTAAAAAAATGTTAACAGTATTTTATTGTCTTAAAAAGGCCGCCAAATGCCCTGATACAGCTGAGTGTGAGGAGAGACAACTCCCCCTTTCGAAATGCTCTCACATGGCAGCATGTATACAGTCACTGCCAGGGACGTTCAACTCACAGCTATCTCGCGGTGGGAGTATTGTTTACAAAATTGAGAGGAGGAAAAGCAAATGTCACACTCTTTAACTGGGTTAATGGACAAAGAGAGTCCTTCTAGAGAAGTTGGAAAACCCTAATTCTGAACCAATGGTGTAAATGGGCTCCAGTATCCTGAAAGAATAAGTGATGTATGGACCAATTATTGTTGACCGGCTACAATGGGACTCCATCTCCTAACGTTACTACACTGGCTTTTGGATTATACCTTTAGATCGAAGGCTCTGGGTATCACCCCCTAAGAAAACCACCTGCTTCGATCTGGACACCGGAGCAGTATCATAACCCAGTTCTCACACAGGTCGGATGATGAAGAGTGGCGCATCCTTGTACCAGTGTTTATGACATTATGGCTTGTTAAAGTACTGGATCAGAGCATTTTAGACAGTTTCTATTTCTAATTCGTGTCATACTTAGCAATTCATATACCTGATTTCATATGACAAGTAACCCTTAATTTAAAAATTAATAGTCTACGTTTTCGAATAAACCAGTACATGATGGAGATTGACTAACAGTGAATTCACTGGTTGGAATTCTGTCTCAATCCGGAATGAATTAACATCACAAACTTCAGATCGAAATGTCTTATATATTGAGTCCCAAATTTGTACTCTAAAAAGTGACATTTAGACTCCTGGTTTTTACCCATGTTTAGTTTTTCACATAATGATTAGCCCGATATGCAGTGGATATGGATGAAAAGTAAACATATTAAAAATATTGTGAGCGGTCCAAATCAATGATTTGTGTGATTTTCAACCGCCAACTTTGTAAAGTTTTTTGACCCGATTCTGGCATCCTAAGCATTGCGACACCACTCAAATCAATAGTTAATAACCTAATTATATAGTGACATGGCCACCTTTAACCCATCGTGTGTCGAAACATGATATGGCTTATTAAACATAAAAAATGATAGTCGGATCAGATTGAGAATTTAAAACTCTGTACCAAATCTAAACGCTGTTTGATTTGTAGCTCCTAAACGTATATTGTTCATCGAATACCACAAAGTTTATTTACTATGCTTTCTTTAGTCATTAGTCAATAGTATAAAATGGGTTGAGAAGGTTTACAAACATCTTTTGACAAAACGTCTGATATCTAACCATTGTATTGATTGAGATCTTGAACCGAATGATGTTAGACCACCATTGAAAACCTGGAATCACTGGACACCCGTTTCATCCTATTGTAGCACTTCTCAGCAGTGCGTGTCCACGATCCCGTCGGTAAAATTCAAACCCAAGGCCTTAGGTCTCACGCGCGAACGCTTAACCTACTTGACCACTGAGCCGGCGTCCAACGTCGTTAATGTCTGACCTCAACCAATCCACGAAATTGCGTGACCATCTTCCATTGTACTGAGGTAGATACCTGTCTCTACCTGACACGGATTGGCTCCACTGTTCATGGCTTCTCACTAGAACTCTCAGAATTCCCTCATGAAGTTAGTCACTAATATCTTATTAACACTTTAAACAAATGTTTAATACAATATCGAATTGATGAATAAATAATAATTAATTACCTTTTCTGTAGTTCGTTTAATTAAAACAGCGCATAAATAAACTGAAGCTACAGGTGGAGCAAGATAAGCTGAAATAGCTTGAATATAAATAAATAATTGACTGCCTTGTAATTCTTGAATTACAGGAATCCATGCAATACTCAATAATATTAATATAATTATAAATATTCTGGAAAAAAAACCCAACGAAAACAATATTGAATTGTAGGACAAACGTTTAGCAACAAAAAATGCATGGAAACTCTAATATAAGGTGAAGGGGGAGTGTTAATTTATTCAGAAAACTAATCTGATTAAATGTATTAATGCAATAACTTAATATTTATGAATTAACAATGTGTTTTTATGACTCAACAACAATAAACGATAAGTGTGTTAATTGTGGTATGTGAAAATTAATAATACATTCAACAAAACAACATAGAAACTATTGAAATTTTTATAAATGTGATTTCAATTTCTAATGTTTTCCACATTATTTTGGATCAACTAACTTGGTTACTTAATTTACTTACTACTGTTACTCTCAGTAGAGTACAGGCTACCAAACAGTATTCTCTAACCGACTATGTCCTGAACCTTCCTTTCTGATTCTACCCAATGCTTGTTCATTCTTCTCATATCTACCTCCATTTCACGGCGTATTGAGTTCTTTGGTCTTCCTCTTCTCCTTTGACCTTGACGATTCCAAGTGAGGGCTTGCCTTGTAACGCACTTCGGTGCTTTCTTCAATGTGTGTCCTATCCACTTCCAGCGCTTCTTCCCGATTTCCTCCTCCGCTAAGATCTGATTTGTTCTCCCCACAGTAAGGTTGTTGCTGATAATGTCTGGTCAACGGATCCGAAGTGTTTTGCATAGACAGCTGTTAATAAACACTTGTATCTTCTGGATGATGTCTTTCGTAGTTCTTCAAGTTTTTGCCCGATACAGTAGAACTGTCTTGATGTTTGTATTGAAAATTTTGACTTTGTTGTTGGTTGATAGTTGTTCTGAGCCCCTTTGATGTTACTGTCGGTCCCAAGCCCAGATAAAGGATGAGGGCTAGGCATGGGGTTAGCGACTCCATCCCGTAGAAAACTAACTCGCTAAAAAACGCTGTGGGTCAACTATTGAAGAATTACTATTTCGGAACATAACCACAGTTCTTATAAGTTTAATCTCTTAAACCTTTTTGATCTACGTCAGTTATATCAACTATGCATTATTCACAGCACTCCTACAAGCAATCGTTGTGGTTTAAAATGTGCTATATGAATTCGAAAATGGCTACAAAGAAACACGGTAAGTAATAGCTACCCTAAATGACGTACAACGTGAATTCGAAAAATTAAGAAATCAAACTTACCGACTAACAATCATTATCTCCATATTCTTTGCTTTTTTCCTAATTTTCAAATAAACGTCAACTGTAAACAACGTACTAGCAGAATTGAAAATCGAAGTTAGATCAGAAATTAATGCAGCTAACATCACGGCCAACATAAGGCCTCTAAGACCTAGAATTGAAAGAAGTGCAGGATAATTAATCAAAAAGTAAGTAAACAAACATAGGATTATTTTTGTCAACGAAATGTAATGCAGAATGATTATCAATGGTTGTAGCGCTTGCATGAATTGACAAATATTTTGCAAAATATTCCCCGCTTCTTCGATATTTGATAAACTTCCTCAATGTGTTCACAGTTTTCTCTTGTCTCTGAGTGTTCATTGGCTCATGAATACCAGTGAACATTCTCGACGGGACCAGGATTTCCATTTCAATAATTTGGTGTACCAATGAAGATTGCATTTTGAATTCTGATACCAACAAAGTAATGCACTTTTTAATGGCAACTTCAAATAAGACATTTCATAGGTAGAGGAAATTGTAGACACTCATGGAACTTTGTATGAATTCATAGTTGATTATTTCAGTACATAACTTGAGGATGTTTGATCTTGAAGTCGTCATAAAGCGGTTGAACTAGTAAACAACTTTCGTGTTCTACGATCAATGGGATATGCTTGTAGATGATGATAAAACATATTCTTGAGCAATCATGACGTGAATGTATAAAAAACAGAAATTTTTTCTAATCCTGTACAGGTGGTGCTGAGAATCCTTTATCATAACAAAATGTATAGTAATAAATAAACCTAATACTTATGGTCTTAGGCAACCAGCATAACGAACACTGAATGATATACATGATAGATAGATAGATAACTAAATCATTTCAGTCTTCTATTTCGAGTATTCATTTTGTTATGTCATTGAAATCTAGTGGTTAAATCTATCGAATTTGTGATTAAAGTTTGACATTACATTCACATATTATGAAGTAAACGATATATAATGATGAAGCTGAAGATATTCTTCATTACTTTATAGTTGGAAAGTGTTTTATAAAAGAAACAAATTCTTTATCAATATAATATTGTATCTGTTGGGATATTCAGAAAAATATCCCAAAAATTATCCTGTTAAGTCTAATGCTATCCTTGGACTTGGAATGACATTATTTTCTTATTGGTCAATACTTATTTCACGTGTCGTTTCCCTACTGGTCAGTATTTATTTTACGTGTCATTTTGCTGTTGGCCAAATATTGTACAAATTTTATTTTCTATTTTATGGTACGTTGTGGTCTGCTTGATTGGTATATAAACAGAGTACGTTTGAAATATAATGATTCATATCGCAGAGGCTAAGACTTGTGTTCTGAACTCAACTTGCTGGGCTAGACAGGAATCAGGACTCTAGGCCGTTCGCATGTGTTCTATGCGTCACTGGTTCAATCGATAATTCGCTGCCGTCTAATCTGCAGACACAAGATATAACAGTATCCTAAGTCGACATATTCGAGATACATTTTTGTAAGTTCTACCAATTTCACTTTATAAGCTTTGAGAATTAGATATCACATAGATAATGATTATCCCCTAGTGACTGATAGGCGCTACACACAGTTATATAATTTGTTTACATTTCATAGGAATATCTAATCAGTATTTAAAATATGAATAACAAATTCAACTAATTATAAGAAAAACGGTAATAATATAAATAGGATGACAGTGGAATAGAAATAATATAAGCGTATTTCATAAAATCTGATGACATAATATTAATTACAAGTTTCGGATAGGCTAAATTTGAGCATCCATTTCTTTGGATTCTACTTAGTACATTTGCTTATATACCATTGTTGTTAAGAAGTGAGCTTGATCAGTCTCTTGTTGGAACATTTGCATACTGCCTCGATATTGCCTTAGTTCACAAACATTGTAAGCAAAGATGGATAATGGCTAGTAGTGGAATCCAGTTTAAGGCGCGTTTCGTCCTATTTGGGAGTCATCAACTAAATTTACAAACATCTCAGAGTTGATGTTCACTACGGGACTCAAACCCAGTAACATTCGCTTCAAACGATATCGCGTTATCAACTTAGCTACTGATTACTAATAGCCACTTGCTTGTGCAATGGATTGACGTATAAATACCTGAATCTTCCCAATGATGTTTAGGACTGCAATAGATCACTCTCTTGTTGGAATATGTGCATCCCGTGTGGAATGCCTTAATATTGCTTTGAGTCACAAGCTTTTTGTCCAAAAATTCGAAAACAAACTGGTACAATTTTACAACCAATCACGATATTCGTGAGGCGTGAATGCACTAATTGATATCCACTGTGCTGTTAAGCGTAAATCCTATTGAAACGTTTGAAGCAAGAGTCATTCACTTAGTTCAGACATATAATGATTATCCAGTTGATCTAAAGCTATAGAAAACTTGATAAAGTTTGAGAATTGGACAGTAGAAAGTGATTCATAGGCGATACACACAGTTATATAATTTGTTTACACTTTGTAGGAATATCTATTCAGTATTTAAAATATGAATAAGAAATTCAATTAGTTACAAGGAAAATGGTTATTTCATCAAACCTGATGGCATAATATTAATTACAAGTTTCGGATAGGCTAAATTTGAACATCCACTTTTTTGTCCACATATTCGATAACAATCTGGTCCAGGTTTACAACCAATCACATCTGATAAACAGTAGAAAATAGGAGATATTGAAGAGATAAAAGTAAATATCGAATTCTACAATTAAAATATTTTAGTCAAGTATGAAAATTGTAACTCCGCCTGAAGCCTGTCTGGGGCTGCTGTTGGTCCCAAGCCTGGATAAAGGAAGAGGGCTAGGCATGGGGTTAGCGACTCGCTAAAAAAACGCTAACCAGAAAATCATGAAAATCGTACATTAAATACATCATTTACACATGTTTGCTTTGTCTTTTACATACTTCATGATTCCTCTAATTCTTTTGTTATTTCGATGGCTCTCCGATTTACTTCATGTTCTCTTCATTTTAATCTTTTGCTGGTAGGCATTTCACTACTGATTGCTGTGATATACTACTTATATCTATCAGCTTAAGTAACATATATTATACACTATCCTATATTGTGTTTATCAATTCAACTGATTTTAGTTTGTTTAGTTAGTTATGTATTGCTTCTTGTACGCTTGTTTATCTATGAATATGGCGAATAATGATATGTAAATTAGATTGATCACTGTAATAAAAAAACTTACTATTCAATTAAGATCTTCATCGGTAGTTTTGATATACATATACGCACACTACCATATTTGATCATTTCTAAATCCTAAATAGTGCAATAACTGCAATGTCTCTATGATATGTACAATAACGAATGTGTAAAATAGTTTGTGAAATCTGTCCATGATACTTTAATACATCAAGAACATAAATCAAGACTTGGTCTTTATTGAATTTGTCAATGTATTCAACAGTTATTCAGTAGTTGACAATCCAACATTTCAGTAAATAGTGACTGTAACTATTTTATGACGATACAATTGAACTATATTGGCTGGAACAATTATTCATTTAAGTCCTACTATGCTAGTTAGGTTGAGGTTAGTGTTTTATTTTTAGCGAGTTAATTTTTTACGGGATGGGGTCGATAACCCTATACTCAATCATCCTTCTTTATCTGAGCTTAGGACTGGCAATAATATCTGAGGGGCTCCAGGCGAAGTTTGGCGACCAGTGTAGCAGCAGCCTCAGCAGCAGTAGGTCCTAACATACAAAAATTGAAAAGCAAGATTCTCCGGTACAACACAACATATGCCAATCACACGACACTTGACGGAGAAGCTTTGGAGGATATCAAAACCTTTACATATCTGGGCAGCATCATTGACGGACACTGTGGATGAGAAGCAGATGTGAAGGAACGGATTAGCAAAGGAAGAGCAGTATATCTACAACTGAAGAACATCTGGAACTCAAAACAACCATCAACCAACAACAAAGTTAAAATTTTCAATACAAATGTCAAGACAGTTCTACTGTATCGGGCAGAAACTTGAAGAACTACGAAAGACATCATCCAGAAGATAAAAGTGTTTATTAACAGCTGTCTACGCAAAACACTTCGGATCCGTTGACCAGACATTATCACCAACAACCTACTGTGGGAAGAACAAATCAGATCTTAGCGGAGGAAGTAATCGGGAAGAAGTGCTGGAAGTGGATAGGACACACATTGAAGAAAGCACTCAAGTGCGTTACGAGGTAAGCCCTCACTTGGAATCGTCAAGGCCAAAGGAGATGAGGAAGACCAAAGAACTCAATACGACGAGAAATGGAGACAGATATGAGAAGAATGAACAAGCATTGGGTAGAATCAGAAAGGAAGGTTCAGGGCAAAGTCGGTTGGAGAATACTGGTTGGTAGCCTATGCTCCACTAGGCGTAACAGGAGTAAGTTAGTAAGTAAGTAATGATAGGCAGGTTGAATAAAGGGCAGTGGGACTAAGAGCAGAAAATTTATGGTCCTAAGATGAAGTTGCACTGCTGACTGTACTGAGATGTGACTGTAGTAATATGTTCCCCTCAGGTAACTAGCATTTGCAATGATGCTTCCTTTCCACAAGAGAGGAGAAAGATTATAAAAGATTGGTTTTTAAAACTTTGTAGCACACATTACTACACAGATTTCTATCGCTAGCGACAGATCTTGAAAAGGTACGGATTCAATGATTGTGAAACATCATTGAGTTCTAGTAGCATATACTGAATTGATAAATCTTCAAAAACTCATTTTGACAGTCTTGGAGAACGATGAAGGTCAATGACAATTATAAAGTAAGCTGGCTTAAGTTTACGTAATGATTGTGCACAGTGGTGAACAATGGAATCAAAAGAGATAGAAAGGGCAGTGACAACAGGTTGTGTTTAACAACTATCCTAACCCATCAGGAAGACAGGTACTCTTTTAACATTCCTATAGGTATGTCACGAGTTGTTAACAAAGAATTGGATGTTACTGATGAATCATTTTCTCAATTAGTTATACAGGTTTCACAAAAACTGAAAAGGATAGACTAAATAAGAATTAGCTTACATTGTAAACTAAAAAATGAACTAAACCTTTCAAAAAACTAATAAACTCAAATACAATACATTTGAAACTAAATTGTACAGAAATAACATTTTATTTACCTGGAAACAATATTCGACTTATCATTCCAGGTATTACAATTAAAAATAAAGGTAACTGTTTAATAAGACCAGCCATTAATGTAGCACCTTGAGCATGTGATAAACTTTTTGCAGCTAAAACACGTTGTACCATCATCTGTATTGTTTTAAACAAAAACAAAAATGTTTAACTTTTAAGTTATACAATAAAGAAAAGCAGTAAAAAAAAGGAGAAGTAGATAAATGAAACATACTGTACGGATTACCTCGATAAAGCCTTAATTTAAAAGCTTTTCTAAAGCAAAGATGGACAGTGGCTAATAGTGGAACCCAGATTGACACACGTTTCGTTCTATTTGGGACTTGTCAGATGGATGTACCTACATCTCAGAGTTGATGTTCCCTCCAGGACTTGAACCCAGTAGTACCGGTCGCTTCAAACGCTATCGCGTTATCCACTTAGCTACTGAGTGTATTCATAGCTTATACGCAGTTGTAAATTTATGTCACTATTATCGTTATCATCAAACCATAGAGGTAGATGATTGCTACTGGTTCTAGTCCAAAAGGTTTATATCTGATACCGAAAACACATATATAACTAGGTCATAAAATCAAGTATAAGAACTGATTACAGTAATTTGAGGATTATATAACTGCTCCTAAGCAACAATATTCTAGACTATAGTAAACAAAGATATTTGGAAAGTTTAGTTTTCCCTGTTATTTTTTACCTTTCATTACACATGATATTCAGTTGAACTACAAACAAATTTTAACAATAAAATACTATACAGTCATCTTTCAAGGTATGCAACTTGGTTAATTGTTATTTGCGATGACATACCTGATCAGTACACCAATACCATATAGATGCAGGTGTTTGACCAAGTAAAAACCCAAGCCATGGCATATCAGGATCATCAATTCCACGTAATAATACAAATGCATTTTCAGGTGGTAGACTACATCTCAAACTAGAAGGGACATCTGGTGAATTTGCCAATTGAGTTAGTGAAGTATAATTTGTTGTGTTAAGAACATTCGCCAAACTGATTATTATATCTGAATCTGTACTTGATGAGATATTTATCGGGGCTATAGCATGACCATAAGAAGAAAGGACACCACTGAAGCCCCCAACATTTACGTAGCCTAGACAGATAGACAGAAAAATGAAATTTCAGCATTTACGTGTAAATATAACCAAACCGAAAACTTGTGAAATTCCTTAAAAAGTATTCGTAATCACAGTATTTGCAATGATATTTGAAGAGAAATCTAGGTATTCTTTCACACATTATGTTTGACAGATACTTAACTTTTCTTGATTACAGTAGTGTTGACGTTTTCGTCTTTTGAATAGTTATGTTTTACATTGTAAAAAAATAAACATTCAATATTCTTATTTTTAAACTGTTTCTTCAACAAACTAGATCCTACCAATGTTGAAGATATGGGCGACGAAATCAAAACATGGCATTACTCCATAATGACATTGACATTCGGAGTTATCCATCCAGGTAGATTCGGACCAACTAGATGAAGCACGTGTGATTATCGTAATTTGTGATTGGAGACCTTGGATTACATGGCTCAAAATCATTCGCAGGTGTATTCGCTTTCTGTCTTCTTTTAGATCCCAAGATTTTAAATTCTTCATAAATTCGTCTGATTATTTTACTAAATTTATTTTTTCCGGGATCGTATCTTCGACCCTTAACTTCTATAACGAATAATACTGTTATTACGTCTTCTAATCCGAGATTCTCCCTGGCGATTCACTCTTGTTGTACTAATGTCAGTCAGTCAGTAACAACGTAGAACTTCGTACATACGTACGTACATCAGTTCAAGTTGCCATACCATATTAGCACAGACATGCAGTTATCGATTCAAATCCCAAAGTGGTAGATGTAGTAAAAGTATGAGCAGTAATCGGAAAGATTAGGGTTTGAAGATGTTGTGAAATGAGTATAATCCAGTAAAATAAATTTGGAAAGAGAAAAAAGAGACGAGGAATCAGGAGATTAAAATTTGGGAGAACACAAAGAGTGGATGCACCTGCACCATTACACACGATTTTAAAGCATCTCATTCAAAGTCTCTAACCATCGGTTGCTATCGTCCCGCTGATCCCAAACAGGTAGTCTACACCTACCAACATGGCTCAGTCCAATTATCAGTGACTTGATGGGTTTGTGCCATGTTTTGGTGTGGCCGCACCTAGCTTCCTTGCAACTTATTTCTACACCATAATACATCGCTTGTCGGGACAGTCGTTGGTTGGGCATACGTAACACATATCCTAGTCACCTTAATTGATGAAGCGGTGAAACTTCATAAATTGATTTGTCATCTTCACCTAGTGCTCGTTTCCTAACAACTCAATTACTTACTTGGTGGTCCCAGGATATACGAGCATGCATCGAAGACACCTATGATCAAATACTAGTAACCTACGGATATTCTCTACTCTTACCGGCGATGTGGTATAGTAACTTGCAGCTGTGTAAACTTGTCAGGCTCTGTGTTGCGCATGACACTGTATTTATGTATTGGAAAGTAATAGCTCGAAGGAGAACAGGCGATGTTGTAGTTACTAGTAGTCATAGAGAAAGTAAAAGGGGACTATATAAATCTAAGGAAATTACTAAAAGGTTGTATAATTATTCTACATGAATAGAAAGGAAAATGAAATCCGTATGAAAATCAGTAAGAACATGTTGAAGATGAAAATTAGAAGACGAAAAACTGTTTTAGAAAAACTCAATGGTTATTTGACTATGGCAGAGAAAAACTGATTATTTTAATCTTCGAAATTGATTGTTCTTGCTCTGTTTAAAACCACGAAACGATTTACTGTCAACCCAGATAGCTAGCTAACAAACTCTTAATGAAATCAATAATCAATCGTGGACTCCATTACTAGCCACTACGAAACAACATGTGTTGGGACAAATGAACCTTTTAAAATAAGCTATCCAACATGCTATTTCTTCAGAATTTTGAGAATAAAAAAATCAAATTCAATCAGTTATTAGTAACATTAGACCTGACATACATATATATCGGTTCAAGTTGCTGTAGCATCCAACGTCATGCATCAAGGTAGACGGCGGTTGTATTTCTATAAACTTTGAATAGCTCTTGTTTGAATATTTATAAAAATCAATAAAATATTTCGAATTCTTCTTGGATTGAGTCTAATGAGCTTATATACTATAAATCAGATCTTAGTATTAGAACATTCGTAAAGTATATGCTACCAAATAATATTTAACCTATATTCACAGGGAGATCAGTTTTAAATTTCTATATACTGGTTAGTTGGAGAAATGAATTGTACAGTAAACTTTATATCATACGGTAATCTTAATAACGACACCATTGAGTGTTGATAAAGAATAGTATTAATCCTCTTTTAGTTATGATATTAACTATTTGTTTGGCATAGACTTATAGTATAAACTTGTCAAACCTTTAGAATTAGTGAACTATCTTGTTCTATATCATCATATGGTATGAATGTTAAGTTCATCGTCGAATCCATCTTAATCTCTATATTGATATTTGTATGCAATTTTTCATTCAGTTACTTTAATGCATAAGCAACAACTGCTTAATGATTCTCATATTTCAAGTAATTAACCAACTTAACAGGAGCTATTGGCATTATATTAGGGCTAAAAAAGAAATAAAGAACATGACAATAACGAATTAGCTATCACAATTAAATCAGATCCCATATGATCTTAGCTCAAACAGCTGAAAATCAAATCAGAGGTAATTTGTAATTGGTATTTATGAAACTATTAAAAATAGAGTCCCAGTTCTTTATATATATTGAGAAATACATTCGTTTTGATAGGAAAGATAAGAATCGAATAAGTTACTCCAGATAAATCCATTTTCAATGACTATCTCAAAATTGTTTGATCTTTAAAGCTTCAATAGTAGTTAGTCAATAAACTTACTTATTACCGCTAATATTAAAGCACCAATTATCATCACGAAAAATTGTAGTGTATCTGTATATAGAACAGCTGCTAATCCACCTGAAACAATTAAGAGTGAATAAATGAAATCGATTATCTTCATTATGCATTAATATTAACATTATTCTGAACAATATTTTTCATGTTTTTGGGATCCTCCACATTGATATTGTTCGGTAGCCCAACCAACTTCCTATTCCAGTCTTGTCTTCTCACACAAATAGTCAGTTTGAGTGGCTGATGCGTAGGATGTTGTGTATCAGTATCAGATCTTGAACACTGATCATCATAACAAAACTATGAACAGTCGCCTTTCTGTGTATTTTCAGAGGCTGTTTACAATGGATTGATAAATAATGTTGATCAAGCAATTCAGATAAAATCTTTTCCCGTTTCACTACTGAAACGAATAAAGAAGTATACAGCTTGTTCGGAAATCTTATGATTCCTGAAAACTCCACCATCTTCTACTTATTTAGAAGATGTTACCGATTACTTCCATATACTCTACCTCGGTAGATATAAAACAGCCCATTTCGTGTTTTGAATAATAAAAATTCGATCTATTACTAAACAGTCAATCTGTAAAACATATCCTCGTGATTGCTTTTTTTGCTAGTATAAGCACTCTAAAACTTGCGAAAAATCTATCTAAATCTTATTTTTCACTTACGAACTGCTAAAAACTTTTGTATCACCCCTAGTTTTAATAGAGACTCCTTCAATCATTCGCGTACACAATTCAGTATCTTGCTAATCAAATTACATAACTCTAGTATTTGTCAGAAAAACCAGTGGTCTCAGGGGTATAAAGCTTATCAATTTCAGAATTGCCGTCAATTACCAGACAATGTAATTTGTATCGTAAACTATACCTCAATATTCTTGCGATTTTTTTGCCCGTATTGTCACAGATGTGGTAGAGTCAGACTATTATAACTGGTATGCGGCCGTAACAGCTGCTTAAATACTATAGTTTCCACTTAACTAGTAGAATAGAGTTATTGATACTTGTCATGTCTTATGGTAGGAATTCAAATTTGATAGTAAATTCAACACAATATTATGATTATTTTAAGCCATAATCTGATTGATGAAAAAGAATTCTAAATGAAGATAACAATTGAATTCTGAGACTAACTATGTATACATTTGAGTGAAGCAATCTAAAAAAACCTAAATACCTATACTTATATGTAGTTTTATTTGTGACTGGAATTCATCGTTGATGACAATTGTTTCAAAATTCAACGAAATCCATCAGTTTATTACGCTGAAAAATAGAAGCAGATATGAAAAGGATGAATAACTACTGGAAAGAGCTGGAAAGGATTGCCCAGGACAGGTTTAGATGGAGAGTGCTGGTGGGCGGCTTATGCTCCTCTACGAGAAATAACAGACATAAGTAAGTGAGTAAGTATCAGTTTATCAACTCTGGAATGTTCAATACATTTATCAGTTTAGTCATCAAAAAACCGATTAAATTCTATTTATTAATGCGTGATTTATGGAATACTAAGGTCATGCATGACATGAGTTAAAACTGACTAGTTTTCTATGTTTATTTCTGCTTTTTGCTTTAAATAGTGAACTCAGACATCATTATATCCAATCTGAAGACCTATATCATTCATGTTGAAATCATTCCGTTGAGGAATAATTATTTCTATTCACCATAAATTGTTCTCAATACGTTAAAATCTATTCACTGTACCTTGTAAGTGAGTTGAATAAATAAAACAAATATAGGAATCCGATAAAGAATGGTAGCTTAACCCTAAACGACAAACAGATTCAATTGCAAACAGTTGGAGAATTATTAGGATTTTGATTGAGTTATGTTCACTGAGCTAAGGGGTTTGATTGTTTTTCACTGACCTGAATCTTGATTTTTTAATTGATTCCTCTAAATGACTAAGAAATTGGATCGATTTTGATATGTTTATTGATTATTGATTGAAATGAGTGCCAAGTTTCTAGAAATTATCTAGTTATCTTGGTAGTTTCTCTCTTCCAGATATCATCATTTTCCCAGTTGAATGTGTCTTCACAATTGTCTACCTTCATTGATATAAGCGAAATACATCGCTAGTTGGTGTTAACGCAGACGAAGCTGAAGAGCGTAGTCACTTCGTCCGATTTAATGTCTCTTGCAGTTAGGGCAGTTTATTGTCTAAACACTGTTGCTCCATTCTCTCTTTTTTCACTTTACAATTTGGTTGGTATAAAACTGATTGGTTTATCAGGTACGCCTATTTCGAAGAGATGTAATAATCTGGATTTAATTTCCCGTAGGTTGTTTGTTGTTAGTTTGGACACTTAACTCTATCCCTGTTGATGAGTTTGATAGACATTGTTTGAAGAAGTTGTGTGGATAGATAATATTTTAAAATGTCATTTGATATTTTTCTTCATTTTCTCATAGTGTAGACGTGCTGCAGTGGACCCTCGAAATTTGAACAAAGCTTTAACGTCATTGTAGTTAAATACCTGATCTGTGTGGAGTGATTTTGAATAAACTCGAGTTACATATCATCCCTCGTTCTCTATCATCCGAGATCATTTCCTCATGTTGAGCAGTATCTCTTATGTCTCGATACAAGTTGTGGCTAAAATCAAGTCTTTCCTTGTGCTTCTGATCTTATTCGTCTTCTTTTTCTATGTTGTCGTGTAAGTTATGGCGAACAGATCACACATATATTCCAGGTTTTGTATTGACAATAACTAAATGACTCGGTTTTGTGAAGAAAATTTAAAATATAAGGCTCTTTTAGTGCCATGCGAAACACTGTGACAGTGATAAGTTTTGAAATTGACGATAATAGCTCCTGGATGTAAGTTGAACACTGAGATAAGACAATTCCTCTTTAATCCTAGCCCTGTCTACTCTAGAAAGCTTGTGTCATGAAGATACACAAGTAAAGACCAAAGAACATCGACTTAAGCATACAGCATATGCATATAAACTGATGTACAAAGACCTCAAAGATAGAGTAACTATTTTTTATCGAAAGAGGAAGAAATAGTGTTTCGTATGAAGTATATAGGAAGGATTACCATCGCGGCGATCTTAGAGACTAGAATTCCGATTCCTGTACATAAAGATAACTTGCAAATAGTTTTAGATTAACGTTCCCGACAAAGTGTTTTAGATGGGCTATTCTTTGTCTGAATGTGAAACATTGCTTCAGCATTCATTTGCATCAATACCTAATATAATCATGTGGAGTGAAGTAGTTTATACTTTTGCAGAAACAGGGTTTCAAAGAGAATGATAGAAAAATATTATAACCCTTTTGTGTGCTTTTTATTCAAAGAGTAGATCTCTGTCCAAAAATACTTCTTTACAGAAAAGTTACAAATTTGTCTCCCAAGTGGAATTATTGATTTTGAAATCTATTTCAGCAACTCAAGGACGTAATACTCCTTTCCACACATAAAGCGGTAAGTCTAACAGCAAGGATCGCAAATAAACATTTGTATTTGCTATATAAATTGAGATTGATTTAAAAACTTTTATACTGACAAAAATGAACTTGACACTTACGTTTCCTTTTGACACTCGTTAGGAACGATCTTACAACGAAACTCCTATATTTAAGCAAATACAATAGAGTAAACTGAAATGCATAAGGTTGGTCATTTAAATTCATTTTATAAAACTGCCCACACCCAGCAAAACAGTATATAAAGCCAACGCACATTGATGAATATGAAACATACTAATCGATCGTTGTATATTTATTTAGACACAATTTCGGTCGTTCAGAGACTATAATAACTTATTCAAATAAACGTAACGATTCGAATACATCTTGATACTTGTTTAAAATTGAGAGAAAATACCCACGGAATCTTACCGGTAACAGTAATAAGACCAGTCAGGAAAAGCAGCAAAACTATTGATGCCCACGTATTCCATTTTAATGCTTCAGTTAAAAACAATGAACCTGAATATAAATTGACCTAAAATCAACAGTTTATAATTATATACTTGCATGGATAATATCAACTATTGGTAACAAATTATTTCATATACATAGTTCTCTTTATCATTTTGAAAAGAGCACGAACAAAGATTCTAGCAGATTATCATGAATTCAGTTTATTTCGTGGGTTCTCATCAGCTGCTTACAACCCGTGATATTTAAAAATCATAATTACATAATGGGTTTAAATCGCTTACATGAGAGGGTTTGTTTGGAAGTTATATTGAAGACATATTCGTAAAGTATATCATGGGTGTAAATGAAATTAATAAACTGAATACTGTAAATATATAACTAATGTGAAAGAATGTTCTACAGCATTAACTGTGATAACAGTGCAAAAGGAGTTAGAAACAATTGACTACATTATGAGTAAACATTGATAGGAATATAGTGAGTAGAGTTCAGTTGAAAGATCATTAATTTGAAAGATAGTTGAAAAATAAAATAACAAAATCAACGATGTAATAAATACAGGAACAATTTTAAGGTACAGCGACAGAATATTTGTCGCCAAGGCAAGGAAAGATTAACAACCGTCTCCTTTCGAGCACATAGGTCAGGATTTTGACACCTGATGGCAATGGCTTCAGTAAACTTCAGAAGACTGGAGTTTGGCTGCTTACTAATCACCCTAAAGGTTTGTAAGGTATCTACCTGATGTATTGTATCAAGGAGATGTTTGGTGATTGCACTATTCAGAGTCTTTCTATCCCTTGTTCTAAGACTTTTTGGAACATGTTCAAAAAATCTAAGATATGCTCTCCTTTCAGTTCGGCCGATGTAACTGCTTTGGCAGGGACACGTAAATTTATAAATACAGTTGGAGGTAAGACGACAGGCATCCCTTTCATGTTACCTCCAACTGTATTTATAAATTTACGTGTCCCTGCCAAAGCAGTTACATCGGCCGAACTGAAAGGAGAGCATATCTTAGATTTTTTGAACATGTTCCAAAAAGTCTTAGAACAAGGGATAGAAAGACTCTGAATAGTGCAATCACCAAACATCTCCTTGATACAATACATCAGGTAGATACCTTACAAACCTTTAGGGTGATTAGTAAGCAGCCAAACTCCAGTCTTCTGAAGTTTACTGAAGCCATTGCCATCAGGTGTCAAAATCCTGACCTATGTGCTCGAAAGGAGACGGTTGTTAATCTTTCCTTGCCTTGGCGACAAATATTCTGTCGCTGTACCTTAAAATTGTTCCTGTATTTATTACATCGTTGATTTTGTTATTTTATTTTTCAACTATCTTTCAAATTAATGATCTTTCAACTGAACTCTACTCACTATATTCCTATCAATGTTTACTCATAATGTAGTCAATTGTTTCTAACTCCTTTTGCACTGTTATCACAGTTAATGCTGTAGAACATTCTTTCACATTAGTTATATATTTACAGTATTCAGTTTATTAATTTCATTTACACCCATGATATACTTTACGAATATGTCTTCAATATAACTTCCAAACAAACCCTCTCATGTAAGCGATTTAAACCCATTATGTAATTATGATTTTTAAATATCACGGGTTGTAAGCAGCTGATGAGAACCTACGAAATAAACTGAATACATGCTATTCTGCTAGAATCTTTGTTCTTGCTCTTTTCAAAACAAATTATTTGTTGAGTACTTGAATCAGCTAATGACCGTCAAAACTCGAAATCTCGTATTTATGCATTGCAATCGGTCGGGTTAGGTGTGAAACGTAGTGGAACGTCATACAACATGAGGTTAATTAGCTATCATACGTTTTAGTACATAAATTAAAAATTATGTGGTTAATTATTCAAAAATAACGTATTCAAATAGCAATAAAGTGTAATGAACCCCAATAATTGTATTGAGTCTAAACTCTACAGATATATACGGAGAGTACAAGAGTGAATGACTCAGTAATTATTAGAAATCTCTAAAAACTTGCTTATAACAGAACTACAAATTTAGATAATGTCCAAATGCTCATTTTGAGCAGACACTATAGTCTGACAGCCGCGCGCTAATTTAATCTGGTTTGCCCCACTCAGTTTTAGATTTAAAACTGAAATCTAATGAGAATACTACGAACTAACGTTTTGTAGGTCAGTCTTTTAAGATTTTGTTCTGAGTCTGGTTTTTAAAGAGACTTGTTATTGAACAGTAACTCAAGGAAACAAAAGCGATTAGATTCAGGTGACTGTTATTTGTTGCACGTTGTCCAAATATTATATAACGTGTTTCAAGGATTCATCGCTTTCACATTTAGAGCTAGTACATAACGGTTGTAAAGAGTCTGAGCCAGGTTAAGAAATAGGAGTGGTTTAGCTTTATTTTCAAAGACGATGTCTTAGCACACTTTGACGGAATAGACTTTGATCATGTTTGTGGTGAAAAAAACAATAATATTGTTCATCTAACAAAATTATTTGACCTCAAAGTCTAATTGGAAGGAAATGAAGTTCAAATTTTTAACAACACTAAATAAAACTTATCTTCAAATAATATTTCTAACAAACTCCGCGAACTGTATTTTTAACTAACTCTTAAGAGAAATAAGACATAGTCATTATGTAGTAAATTTGATCTTCAGTTATCGCTTTTGGTTTCAAGATGTACGCAATACCCTAAGCTTCTTAGAATTTGTATTTAAATATCTTTTCTTGACATAAATTGATTGATTTTCTGACAACATGATGATTGAGACTTTATTTTGTATAATACGTTCCAGCCCTTGGAATATATGGCAGCGACTGGCTGCTGTATTTATGTTCACATAACTATTTACTTATAGTAAGTATGAGTTACTGATTCAAAAGAATGAACTGGCTTGCGAATCCGAAAATGCGTTCACTGGTGGATAAAATTAGACCACACTATCGAAATCCGAACCTGGATAGACTATGATGCTAGTATTCCATCTTTAGCACATATGTGAACTCTAATAATGTCTTGGTGCAAACAAGTGTCTGTATGTGTTCTACTAGATCTAGGAAAATCTCAGTAAAAATGCCACCAAGAGATGACCTGAAGTATTAGTGTATCAGAAACAAGAAACTAGCTTGATACTAGCTTTGAAACTCACGCTGATGGACTATGAAAACCATGACAGAAGCAGACTTAAAATATAATGTAGAACTGAGCAGCAGAACTGAGAGCAGCAGAGCGTAAGAAAAACAAATGAGGCAGAAAAAGTATTAAGAATCACAAGTGATTGATCACTGAATGGCGATCAATGTTATGCACGTCTGGTCCTTATTAGTGCAGATCGAATGCAACATGATCGATAGCATTCGGTCTGCACTAATAAGGACTAGACACGCAAGACATTGATCGCCACCCAGTGATCAATCAATTGGTATTACATCTCAGTCCTACAGGAGGTTGGTCGCGGCTCGGATAGCTCAGTGGTAACGTCTCTGACTATGAAGCTGGGCGACACGAGATCGAATCCCCCGGGGAGCACCAGTTCTCTAAAGATTACGAGTACACCTTGCTGACGAGTGCCAAGTAGCACGAAACCCAAGTCCAGGGTTTCCTGTCAACTACCTCCAACCACCGTCTAATCTCAAAGTATTAAGGATGTTTAACTCCAGACAGCCGTTAAGACTGATTGAATTCACAGCTAGTGAAGCAGTCGTAAGGAGAGATATAAATTTTGTCTATTTTCGAGTCAACCAATGAGAATGATGGACGGAACACTTTGGAAATAATTTTAACTGTCCACTAGTTATGCTTCAGTTACGCAATTCCCCTTTTGGTGTGACTGAGGAATCAACATAATCGTATGGTCAAAAACATTCGGATCGGTCATAATAATTCACAATTATCAGGGGATTTCAATTTCTCATTTTTATTGAGATCCATAACTGCTAACCTCTAGAAAATGGTATGCTTTAAGCCTGACTAATGTAGTACCAAAATTAAATGAGTGGCGACGTTTGATAACATAGTCGAAAATCTATCTCGATGGCAAAATCACATTAGTACTTTACCTTTAATTAAATTTCAGGTTAAATATCATCGCTCGTTCTCTATTATTCGAGATCATTTCCTCCTATTGAGCAGTGTCTCTTGTGTCTCGATACGATTTGTAGCTATAATCAAGTCTTCTCTTTTACCTTTTATCTTATTCGTCTTCTTTTTCTATGTTGGCGTGTAAGTCATAACAAACAGAATATACATATATTTCAGGTTTCGTATTGATGATGACTAAATGACTAGGGTTAGTGAAGACAAAGACAAAAGGTGGAACGTTTTCAACATTTTGATTAACAATGTAAGTGTTTGGGCTGAGTCACATATCCCCTAAATGCCAAATAAATCTTCAGCGGCCGTCTGCATCGATGCCTACTTTGACTAGTGAGTGAAGTAGTTGGGTGTGTTGATCAAAAATGGAGAATATATCAGCGATAACATCTTTGTATAAATATATGTTAAATAAATATGCAAATATATGCATGAATACACTTCAAATGGTCAAAAATACACAGGTGGATAGGTTAAAATCTGTCAACTTACAGAAATCTTTGTAAAAATATATAGTATGAGAGACAAAAGAGCGAGATACATATGTATTCTTTCTCCGCCATATCGTTTCTTCATGTACTCAGGCAATGTAAATACCTATAAGAAATTATATGATACGACAGCAACGTACTCCACTTGCAATATACACAGGCAGGAATACCCACCCAAGAAGTTGAAGTAAAATTGATGCCTTGAAAGTAAAGTACAGCACGTTATTTTATCATAAAGTTATGACGTAAGATGAATAAATAATGAGATTTTTATAACCTATATGCTGAACAAATGATATGTCAATAAGATTATATCCTGCTGATAGTTTGCTTTTATACAATAAGTGAGTTACTGAGAACTTTACTCACATTCAGTTCAAAAGCGCCAACTGCTATGCCAGCTGCCGCTCCTGATCCAGCTAAACCAATAAAATGTTCACTTCCAATGTTACTCGCAAATAATGATGCACCAACCTTTGTTATTATTATTTAATCAACATAGAAGACTTACAGGAAGCCATGTCATAAACCGGCCAGCTAAAAAATAACCAGTAACAGTTCCTCTTCTGGATGCAAACAATGCCTGATAAAAACTATTATTTTACAAAACGCAACAAAACTTACATATATCCCAGTACACAATAAAGCTACAAAATATATCACGAGGACTATAATATCTAATACATTGAGGTTCATTGTGTGCAGATTGTTTAACTAAAACTACACAAATAAAGCTTAAGTCGAATGAACAGCACCAATCTCAAGTATTGAAGAACAAAAAACCTAAGAAATTCCGTCTAACTTTCAAGTGAGCTCGAGCTGGTATTTATTACCTTATACACAAACCAAACAATGTCTCATTTACTCCAACAGAATTCCTAACCGTCACACAGAAAAGCGTGAATGTATTAACTAAATTTGAATGATTAAAACACTCTCCCACCTGAACGATGCGACTGATTTCGGTCAGTTAGTGCAAGACAATTATATTTTTGGGTTCAATTTTTGTTGTTTTGGCATGGTTACAGGTCTCTTGCAACGTCCGATGTGCGGTAGTGTGATGTTTGAACGAACTAATGATACTATTGTACTGGTTGATTGTACGATTTCGAATTCCAAATGCAGTACATTCGGTTGTGCCTGTGTCTTCGTAATTCAATTGCGTTATTTCTGGGACTCTTAGTTAGTGCTATAATTCCAATAATTCGAAACATTATACTGGCGTCGTGATGGAACCTGCAATGGAAAAGTTGGACATTCATTCAACTTCGGAAGCATTTGAGGATTATTTGGAAAGGTTTGAAATCTGGAGCATGACTAAGAAAGATGTCAAAGGTGATAAAATTGTGGCACATTTCCTGACATTCATTGGGAGAGAAGCTTACAGCTTATTAAAAACTTTGGAATATCAAGAAAAACCTATCTCACTTCCTTATGCAACTCTTAAAGAGCTATTATTAAATCATGTAAAATGCACCAGTTTCGAATGCCGTGAAAGGGCGAAACTTCATAAGATGGTTCGTCAAAATGATCAAAAAGTTCTGGAATTCATCCTTGAATTGCAGAAAAAAGCTGTCAAGTGTAATTTCGGTGATCAACTTCATGTACAACTTAGAGATCGATTAATTGCAGGAATCAACATACCGAGTTTGGAAAGAGAGCTGTTAAGAATGCCAAACTGTTCCTTTCAAGATGCTAGAACTGCGTGTATTAACTATGAAGCAGTAAATGAACTTGATATCCAGTCAATGAAGATTTCTAATACTTTGCTTAGTCGTCCTGATGAACTACAATCTCAGGGTCAATCGAACTTGCGTTCATTTAACGGTGAATCCTATTCTCGTGTAAATATGAAAGGTGTTTCAACAAGGAATTACGAAGCAAATCACAAAGGTGAGATGAAGTTTGGTAAATGTTTATCATGTGGAAAGTTTCATCCTCGTAATCCATGTGCATTTCGTAATGCTAAATGTTTTAAATGTGGTAGGATAGGACACATTCAGCCAGTATGCAAAGCTACTGTCCATTTTGCTTCAGGTAGTACTAAATCTTGTCATTTAAATCTCAATAATTCGGATGTTTCTAGCGATCATTTATCTTTGTCTACTATTTCGAAAGGTAATGCTCATATTCAAAAGCGACTATATACATCGCTTGGTTCATTTCATGACTTTATTGTGGACACAGGCAGTATAGAGTCCATTATTTCATCCAAGAACTTGAAATTTTTAGATCCTAACGTTGTAGTACGACCCACTGAAGTATCAATATTGGGGATTACTGGACACAGACTGCCCATACGAGGATGCTGTGAATTGCTAATAAGAGATGATAATTCTTCATACATACCTTATGAATTTTTAGTTAGCGAAACAGGACTGTCAATATTAGGTTTAAAGAATTTGAAAAGGCTTAAAGTGGAGTTGTCCTTCCTAGTTTCTAAGGAGAATTCTGATACTTTACTTAAAGATTCGATAGCTAGGTGTGCTAAGTGCAGTGGAGGTATGAAAATTCAGCCTATAAAACTTCAAGTACAGGGTGATCCAGTTTTTCTTAAAAGACGAATAATTCCTTATGGTCTTCGAGAAGCAGTACATAAAACATTAAACGATTTGTGTGCGAAAGGCATAATTGAACCAATTCAGTATTCAGCATGGGGTACTCCTATCGTTACGCCATTGAAGTCGGACGGCAAGACCCCTAGAATTTGTGATGACTATAGATTAACTCTGAATTCCCGTTTGTTGAAGCAAACGTGCACGACGGTGGGGGCTGAAGATATTCTAAATCGACCTCATGGTTCTAAAGTGTTCTCGAAAGTTGACCTAAAAGATGCTTATCTTCAGATTCCTTTAGATCAATCTTCATCTATTTTGACGACAATTAACACTCCGTTTGGTCTGTTCAAATACAATTTTCTTCCATTTGGTCTAAGTTGTTCTCCAGCCATATTTCAGGAAGTTATGAATAAATTAAATAGTGATCTTGAAGGTGTTGAAGTTTATCAAGATGATTTCATTGTTCATGGTTCTAATAAGGTAGTTCATGACCAGAGACTTATTGCTTTATTGCGTCGTTTAATTGAGAAGAATATTACAGTGAATCCAAATAAGTGTTCGTTTTGTGTATCTAGTTTTGAATGCCTTGGATACCTAGTTGATGGTAATGGTTTTAGACCAGATATGAAACGACTAGCTCCGCTGACAAATGCCCCGTCTCTAAAAAATCTTACGGAATTACGTTCACCAGTGGGTGCTCTTCAATACTATTCCCGATTTATTCCTAATTTTTCTTGTCGTGCAAATTGTTTATTTAATATTTTGACATCCAATTCATTCAAATGTAGTGAGGAACAAGAGTCATGCTTACGTAATCTACTAAAGTTTCTTCAAAGTGATGCTGTTCTTCGAACGTACTCCCCTCGTGTACATTCTGTGCTTATTACTGATGCATCACCTGTGGGAATTGGTGCAGTTTTGGAACAGGAAGGTAGACCAGTTATTTGTGTTTCACGCAAACTCACTGTTACTGAACAAGGTTATTCACAGACTCAGCGAGAAGCATTAGCTGTGTTTTGGGCATTTAAAAGACTTCATAAATATTTATTCGGAAAGAAATTCACTATTGTTACTGATCATGAAGCTTTAAAGTTTAGTTATCATCCTGAAAAATCCTTAGCACGTTCCTCAGCTGCTATGGTTCAACGATGGAGTATTGCTTTGAGTGCATAGGACTATACGGTTCAGCACAGAAGTGCCAAACAAATTCAACATGTTGACTACATTTCTCGACAGTCATTACAAGATCGACCTATTAATACTTCGGACTGTTTGTTAGTGCAACCTTTACCAGTGAGACGTTCAGATCTCATTAGAGAAACTCGCAGATATTTTGGATGTATACTCAATGCTATACGGAAAAGCTGGACTGCTAATTTGAAACGTAGATTTCCTATCTATTTTTCAAAGAGGGATGAGCTATCTACTACTCCTGATGGTATTCTGTGTTTAAATGATCGTGTTGTCATTCCTCCTTCATTGCGTAAATCTGTTCTTGAAGATTTTCATAGTGGTCATTTAGGTGTTGAGAAAATGAAGTCTTTGGCAAGGCTCACATGTTGGTGGCCAGAGATAAATGCAGATATATGTCGTACAGCAAACAATTGTGAGAAATGTCATCAGTTGAAAAGTCATCCTTCGAAGTGGACGCCATGGCTAGTATCGTCTGAGGCCTGGGAGAGAATTCATGCTGACTATTGTGGTCCGTTTCTTGGTAAATACTATGCACTAGTAGTTATTGATTCTTTTTCAAAATGGCCTGAAGTTTTTTTACAACTTCACCAAATTCTGACTTCACAATCCAAGCATTGAGAAAGGCGTTTAGTCGAGAAGGGGTTCCTGTGGTGTTAGTGACTGATAATGGTTCTCACTTTGCTGCAGATGTGGTCACTAACTGGTTGAATGGTATAGGGTGCAAACATCTGTTTACTGCTCCCAGACATCCGTGTTCTAATGGTCAGGCAGAGAATTTTGTCAGGACATTAAAGACTGCTATTGATTCTATAGCCGCCTCAACATTTAATGAGCTGGAAAAGGAAGTAGATACCTTTCTATTGCAATATAGAAATGCCAGACATTCGGTGACGAAGGAGACTCCAGCGAAGCTATTGAAAGGAAGAATTCTTCGGTCGAATATGAGATGTTTGGAGTCTGCAGAAGTTACATACTATCGGGGAAATGATCTTCGACCATCTACGGGTATTGTTCTGAATAATGTCGGAAAATCGATGGTGCGAATTCTAGACATCAATGACTTAAGTACACACAGTCGACATGTTGATCAAATACAATTTCAGGAACCAGGTGAGTCTGTTCCAATTTCCGTTGTTAATTCTAATGCTAATGAGCAAATTCTAGATAATACAGAATCCTTTTCGAATATAATAGCAGACAGACCCAGAATGAATTTAAGAAGACGTACGATTGATTGCAAACACCTAGACTCCAATTTAAGCTGTGGCGGATGTGGTGTTTGAACGAACTCATGATACTATGGTACTGGTTGATTGCACAATTTCGAATTCCAAATACAGTACATTCGTTTGTGCTTGTGACTTCTTAATTCAATTGCGTTATTTCTTGGACTCTTAGCTAGTGCTATGATTCAAATAATTTGAAACATTATAGGTAGTCAAGCCACTCCATTGTACCAGTTGTAGTTAGTTTGGTAGTTATTTTGTGAGTTTTGATACCTTCGGATCAAATTGAATTCACCTTTGTTATGACATACGTGTTTCTAGATTAATGACTATCACATTACCAGCTTGTAGGTTAGTTGGTTACGACCTGCTAAAATAATAAACAACTAATCTGAATGAACAAGAAGTAATAGTAAATCCAAGTTTTCAGCATTGATGCTGGCCTCACTAGCTTTACTGGAAACACACTTCACACCATATGACATTTGGATATGCCATGCTCCACGACTCTCATAGCAAATAGTCAGCTTGGATTGTATGCACTCCAACAAATCAATCATTGTTAAAAAAAATACTTCCTTACCCGTTCAATTCCGGCGTTCTATTTGGACGGCCTCAGACTTCTCGCGTAAGAAGAGTTTGGGGATAGTAATATTGACCAATACTTAGTATCAGTAAAATTTTCACAATTAATCAATTTACAAATAATGCAAATAGTGTGAGGAAACCGAAATGCACTAATAGCAGGTAAACGGAGGTGATAAGAGGCAGGAGAAAAATCAGCTGGTGATGTGCTGATGACAGTGGTGGACAAGTTACGAGACATGCATTATACGAAGCTAATGCAGATGAAAGATAGTGATCTCCGTGTTCGCCAAGTTTTCTCTTGGAGCTCTCAGTGAGGTAACCATGGTCAGCCCTGCTGAGGGAGAATTCGAAATGGAGAACAGGTGTAGGCTCACTTTCACTTTCACTAAATCACGTTAATTTCTATAGAAGCCGCTCGTGGAGCGTTGTGTTGGAGTGGTATGGGATGCACTTGGTGTTTTAAGTCATTTCAGATCA